CTTCACTGAGTTACGCAAGCCCCTTCGCCACGACAAGGCAGTGATCCATGAAGGGGCACCTAAATATATTATGTATATATTTGGTAACAAGCTCTCAAATTACGCATAAAAACCAGCTTTTTCCAGCATTACCCATATTCATCCTTTGGTGGGATTGGTGAATTCCTCTTCTCTTCCACCACCACTTTTTATTTTCCCCCCCAAGCCTCGGGGTTTCCTAATTCCTAAACTTGTAAGTCAACAATCATTTCAGAAGATAGAAAACACCTCCAAGCAACCTCAATGGATGCCTTCACCAGGAGCTGAGCTGAACCTGAGAACATCCTTACTTCTGGGCAAGAGTCCTACTATATTCCTAATCTTTTTTTTTTTTTAAATACCTCTTTAAGGCCTTTTCCTTTTCTTCTTGTGATAACCAGGCACACAGCTGGCATTTTCCTAAGAGAAAAATTGCATAATAGTTCTTTATATACTTCCCAGCCCTGACATCAACTGGGTAAAAGCACCGAGATGGAAGCTGAATCCTCCCCAGACTTTCCCCAGCAGAGGCCCAATATTTCGCTTTCCACTTAATTTTGGAACTCGGAGGCCATGAATTAGTAATGCACGGACTTAACCTTATGAATTGCTTTGCTACGATTTTTCTGCAGATAGTTTATTGTCATTCTGGAAAAGCAACACGCCCAGAACCCGATGCCAACAACAAGAACAGAAAGAGCATAGATCAATGGTAGAAACAATTAGAGGACGCACACTCATTTCAAGTAAGTTGCGAGAAGTTCAAGGGCCACCAGGCTCTGCCCTGCTGACCTCCTTCAACCTTTGCCGAGCACAACAGACAATCTCCTACTGAGTCATATTCTGTAGCTCATAGTTGATTGCTAATTAAAACTAGTTCAATAGCTAAAATAGGAAAGAGGTTTGGGGGTTTCTTTTTGTTGTTTCTGAAGAGAGACCATGATGAACATACCAGACCTCCTGGCTTGGGGGGGAACAGATAAAAAGGGAGTGATTTAGGAAACTCTTGGGTATCCAGTTCCAGGAGTCAGATATACTTCTGAAAAAAAAGTGTTTTAGGTTCTTTGACTTACAAGTCCCACATTTCCCTCTGAGCAGGCTTGGGGCTTATCAAGGGCTTTCTGTCTGGCCCTCTTATTTCAAGAGAGGACGGTGCAAATACTGTGAAAAAAAACCTGCACAACCGCTGCTTATTTGGAAGACAGCCGTGGAAACAGGAAGCGTCAGTATTAACAAACAGAAGCTACTCTGCAATTCCAGCTAGGAAGCCGGAGTGCCGGGCACAAAGGCGCCAGACAAGCCTCTGCTGCTTCGCTCTTGGACTGAATTATTCCATGAATTATTGAGTGGCCTTGCGTAACTCAGAGGAGTGAGATGCAGGCCGGTTCAGCACTCCCGCGGCAATCTTATGCAGCATCTCATGAAATAGAAACACAAGACTGTAGTGAGCTTTCCTGCCTGTTGCCTCCACATTCTCATCTCCGTGCACTCCTGAAAGGGAGCTCTTTCAGAATTCACCAAGGAGGAAAAAAGAGAACTGCCAAAAACAGACCAAATTCCTGTCTGTAAACACAAAAACTCTGACGATCCCATCTCAGAAGCACTTTAAGAGACACGTTCTTATGATTTCCGTCATCTTCTTATGGGGGGGGGGGAATCTCTGCTAAACACGCAACATGCTTCAAGCCCGGAATAGCAGCCCCATCCACTGGGAACTTTCTGGACCACACAACACAGCACTGAAACCGAAGTCTCGGACTTCTAAATTAACAGGGAAATCATTTCAACGGACCACCAATTTCAACAGTCAATTACAACCCCATTGGAATACAGAGGACTTATCCGGCCAGGGGACTCTAAACCCAGCGTTTCAGCTGAGCCTGCTCCCCAGGCTGCACCTGCTCTCCTTCCACCTGTCCGGAGGTACCTGCAGCCAAAAGACAGGCTGCTCCAACACCTTTATAGATTGATGTTGTCAATACTCCATGACGCATGGATGAGAATGACACGCCCACAGCCACTCCTAAAGTCACGGGTACACGGTAAAGTTTATTCCAGTTCCTTCCTTTCACAGGAAACTTACGTCCCTTCATTTCAGAAACTTTGGGAGCTGTGGACAACAAGACCTATGAATTTAAACCAAAATGAGCTAAAATACAGTATTATGTACTTGAATATCCTGTACCTTTCACTTCTGCATATCAGTGTTTCTGAAATATATCAATTCCTGGAAAATGGCACTTGTCTGCAGCCAGGCCACATGTCAGTCTAGTTAGTCCAACGCAAAGGAAAAAAAGAGACACACCAGATAGCTTTGAAATCGTGGGCAATTTATTTGCTGAGCCACAAAAGAGGTCATTTTCTTGGACCCTTATTGTCATTTACATTTTCCTCACCTTCTAATACTATTTACAATACATTAAAAGCATGTTATTTTTCCTAGATTTGAATACAATTATGTGCAAATGTCAAATCAGTAAGACAAACTGCACCTCAAACAATACATATGCTCAATACCAGGAAGTGGGTTTGGGAATGTTTTCAGGAAGAAAGCAGCGAGGAAACCACAGAAGTGCTTCCTTGCAACCCACAAATACCTTTCAGAAAACCGGGAGAAGCTGGGCTCCGTGCCATCATCCCCGCTGCCAATCCAAGCAGTCCAAACCCCCAAGGCAGCGCACTTCCTCACTCCCGGGTGAACAGCTGCCTTGGCTTGCCCCGCAGCATGGTTCGCAGGCGTAGTTCAATTCTGAGGGATAAACGCAGGTCCCCTGCACCGAGAAGCAGACTAGTGACACCGTCTAAATAAACTGAGGTAGCATTTTAGGTCTGATGCAGACATTAATGCAAAGGCTAAAGAGCATACTTTCTCATTGTAAGCTTTTGTTGCAAATGCCCCTCAAAAGGAAAATTGAAGCTTACACAATACCTCCTGAAAAATTCCTCCAACCACACTGGCTGGCTGAAAAATGACTTCTAATACTGACATTGGTGCCCAATTTGCATATAACACCAAACCTTTATTTAGGGCTACTGGAACAAGCATGAGACAAAGGCTTGGGCTTTCTCTCTCTGACTACCCTGTAACCAGAAGTTCACGTCACTTTCTTCTAGGGGTATGAGAACCAGTAACACAAACCTTGATTAGTTAAGCAATCTCAAGCCAAGTTGGCTTAACTTAAAGTTCATGACAAAATAGGACCAGTTTGCATACGGATCCTGAATTTGGCTCGGGAGCCTAAGCACAGCTTCAGCTTGTCTCACTTGTAGTTGTAGTAGTAACCTCTGGTTTAGCGTCATGTAAAATGTGGACGCACACACAAAAAAGCAAGATACCCGGCTAGCATCATAGCCTCTGCTTCTGCCTCCGGTGTTGGTTTATACCAAGGAACACCTTCAAAATCTTTCAACTAGTGCTGCTCTTTTTTCTTTTTCTTTTTTAAGTTGCTCTTTTGGTAGCTAAGCACTTACTGTTTAGTTAAGTAACAGGAGAGCAAATGCTAGGCTTTGGAAAACCAAGCACAGCTTGTACCACAAAGGTAAATTAGCTTCATCTGACTATATTAAAATACAAAAAGCAGAGTTTTAAAATCCATTAAAATCTTACGACTGCACAATGCAGTTACATCCTTCTGCTTCCCATCTATACTTCTCCATGGATTGTCTCGAAGTCCATAGGAAATTCCAGGATTCACAGCTGGAGCGCTAACCGCCCGGGGCCCGACCTGTGGCAGTCCACGCTCTCCTTCTAGGCTTGCAGAACTGATCCAGGAGCAAAGGAAAGGCCGTGCAGAGCAATCCACCCCCCAAGACAAGTCCCCGTGTGTCCCTCTGGCCCAGCTCCAGCTGGCGGAACCCCCGGAGCTCAGAGCTTCTTCAAGCGGCTGTAGTGCTCCCTCTTGCTCTTCTCCCCTGCCCACGTTCGGCTCTTTGTGCGGAACCTGCGCAGGTCTTCCTTGAAGTCCTTGTGGTGCATGGGCCGATAGCCCTGCGGCTCACAGTAGCTCTGTAAAGCAAAGCAAAGAGCACAATTCAAAATCCAGAAAGGGGAAGTACACCCTGCGCTGAAGCCAAGCTTCTTTTAATACAGATTCCTGAACAAGTCTCAGGCGCCACACTAAACCATCACCATCCACAATGGCTGAGTTCACATGGCCCACTAAGCCAAACCAAAAAAACTCGCACACACACCATCACGGCCCTCCTCCTGACTGTGGGCTGAGCCGGGCGAGACAGCTGAAGTTTGCTATGTCAGATGTAGAACTTAACCCAAAAGGAGAGAATCTCTGTAGCTCAGGGTTGAACCGTGGAGACCTTGGTGCCCTCTGAGCTTGGTGGCTGGCTTGCAGGCGTTTCATGACCCGACTAGGCAGCATCATCAGCGCCGGTAAGCGTGGGGTTTGCTGCCTGTTTATATACACTATCTTGCCCTGCCAGTGTTTCCTCCTTGGTGGTTCCTTGACTGAAGTATTGTTTTGAGCCCGACTGTTTGTCTGAGGCTGATCCCTGCTTAACTGAGCGTTGGCTGCTGGAGGGGTGTTCTAGCCTTTTTGTTTCCTGCCTAGCTTCCTTATTGTCCTTTCTGAATGTGACTTATCTCTGTGTGTCCGTGACAGCAGAGGGGCTGACCCCCATGACGCTGCTTTCCTCCCACAGCGATACTCTTTTAGGCTGAGCAGCTCTTGAGCCTTGGAGGCTGCCCTCACATCCATCGTGCCCCCCCAAGACAGACATTAAAGACCTGCACTCCCCTACCCCAAACCTTACACTTGGCTCCAGCATGGGATGAGCGTAGGAGGCTCAAGGCTCAGTTGAGTAGCTGCTTTTTGATTTCAGCAAGCCACGGGACAGCTGTTGCGTCTAAACCCAGAGGGGAATTCACACTGGTCAACCAGCACTACCTCTAACCCACCACCAGGTCAGACCAGGGCCCCATCTAGCCTTCCACTCCTGTTCCCAGCCTCCCAGGCCAAGAGGTGTCACGCACAGGGATGGGATCGTGTGAATGACCTGAAACGACCCTGACCTTGCATTTGAGGAAGAAGTCCTTGTATCCCCCTTTTAGGACATAGAGCTCTGGGTAGTGCAGACTCGGGTACTCGTTGCCAAGCCTGTCTCTTTCTCTTACAAATCGGCACCTGCGAAAGAAGAAGAGGAGGGGGGTTTGGGGGGAAAAAGATCAAACCCTGCCCCCACAGCTGTCGGACAGGTGGCTGCAACAATCCCACTAAGCATACAAATGCTGCCCCGTGATATGATATACAAGAAGTACAGGTAGCCCCCGTTCAGCAATGCCTTGTTCAGCAACCTTTCGCAGTTACAACGGTGGTGAAAAAGTAACTTTATGACCAACCCTCATGCTTACACCTTCGCAGGTCTGTAAAGCAAAGGAAAGCTGAAGGAAGATCATAAGCTGCTGCGGTTTCACTTAGTGACCGCTTCGCTTAACAACCGAGTTTCCGGTGCCAATTGTAGTTGGATCACAGGTAGATGCACGAGGGCCCCATTCTTGGAGCAATCTAGATTTTTTATTACATTTATTTTAATCTTACTTTTCAGAAAAATTCTCTCAAAGCCGCTAACAAGCAGTATCCACAATTGCAAAAAAGTACAAAAGTTCAGTCCTCGGACCACCGATCATCACTCTTAGACCACCCTCACAGCTTCCACTGATGTGGAATGAATCTGACGAAGCCAGCTTAATCTTACTGAAGTCAACAATATTGGCTTACGTAACTTTTACGCAACAGAGAGCACCACCGAAGGAGCACCAGCCAAGTCAGGATGGCCAGCCTGCTCCTCCCCCTCAGCTCATCTGCAGCTGCAAACAAGCCACAAGTCAGCGAGTACCCTGGCCTTTGCAAAGGTGAGGAACATGGTCTTCAGAGTACTCACATCCGGGGGGCCCGTTCCGATGAGAACTCGCAGTGGAAAACAACAATGACTCGCTTGCCGCCAGATGACACAATAGGCTTTTTGAGCAAAAAGTCTTCAACGTCTTCCTCCATGTGAAGATTTATAGCACCCTGGAGAAGAAAAGGAACCAGCAGAAAGTAAACTGATGGGAGGGAGTTGCGCCCCTAGTCCAGCCTCATGTAGACATTCTCCTGTTTTTCTTCGTGCTGCGTGCCTTTATGTGCAGAACGTACGCTTTTAGGCAAGAAATCTCAGGAAAGTCTGGGAACTCCATTACTGTAATGTCCAAAGAGTATAATACTTAACTTGGGAAAAGTAACTGAGTTGGGCAGTTGAGTCAATCTTTCCTTGTGAAGGGCACGTAAAAGGACCCATTGTTGGAGAGAGGGCTCTTGTGAGTAAGACTAAGGACCCAGCATGAGCTGCACCACGGCAACAGCTGGATTAGCGTGGCAAATTCCTGGGCTGCCCCTGGCCACAGGAAAGCCCCTTATCATCCAGAGGCTGATATTTGGTGCTGAGCCCTGCCATACCTTTATATGACCGCCTTCATATTCGTAGGGAAATCTGCAGTCGATGATTACACACTCCTTTATGAATATAGAGAACTTGCCATTCAAAACTGCCACAATCTGGAAACAACAGGATGAGTGTTAGAGCTTGAGCGCCAAGCTCTGGCATTCAGGAACACCTACTTTATTCTACAGGGCAAACTAGATGTTGGAATCTCCCGGCCTTCTTTAGGGCCCAGAAGCCTTCGGTTCCCATCAGAAAGCGCCCCTCCCAGAATCAGAGGCGCCACATACCATTTCTGGATCAATGTACTTCAGATCCTGATGCTTGCCATCAACGGTGTGGAACAGATAAACCTACAGAGACACGACCAAACCTTCGCTCAGGAGGAGACAAAGGGCAGACCCTCCCTGGAGCAGGCTAAAAGAGAGGGCAGCACCAAAGGCTGCAGCTACTTTTTCAGCGCCTTGTCCCACTCCGACAAGTTAGAGGTTAGGAGGAAGGAAAGGAGCACTACCTTTGAAAAATCTCCAATAAGGTCCCTTTGGTCACTATCCAAAACATTCCCTATCTCTAAAGAGGAAGACGAGGAGGAGAATGGACTCTGCAAAAAAGAAAAAAAAAGCAGAAGGCAGCTGAAAGCAGAGGTAATTTCTTACTGTTTTTAAATATAACTGTTTTGGAGTCCTACCATTCACATTCAAAAGAGACTTAGACCAGCAGGAAAATCTCAAAAAATTATCAATTATATCCATTTATATAGCCAGAAAGAAAACACTCAGGGTAAAGGATGCTAATATAAGCCAGGCAGGGTAAAGAGCAGGCCATAAAGAGAGACGTTGGAAATCTGTCTGAGCAGGTGAATGAAGCACCGAAGGACCTTGGGTGAGGCTGCTCCTTGTCAGGAGCAGGCTTGCTAACAAAGGAGCCCTGAGATCAGAGCTACAAAAAAAAAAGCAAAGAAAAGAGTGGAGAGGAGAGATGGAAAAGATATATGCCAATGTTCAAAATGTTTCATCCCATTTGTTATAAATCATAAAACTGGCAGAGTCTTCCAGAAAGACCTGTCCCCTTGTTTGGGTGCCCTGCCTTTCCTCATCTGCACAAGGCCCCCAAAGCAGCCCCTAGCTCTGCCTTCCAGGAAAAGGCCCCGGGTGGGAGAACATCCGCTAGGCTGCGTCCCTTGAACTGGCACCTCCTGAATCTGTTCCACTGGCTGGCCTTTCCTCCGTGGATATTTTCAGCGCTTGAGAAAAAACGAGTTAAACCCTGTCCCTTGCCCCATTCAACAGCTCTGCTGTATTTCCCCCAGGGAGCGTGCCCTCTGATGCTTGAGGGTTTTCCTCCAAATCTCTACCCACCATCTGAGCACCCCTGCCTGTCTCCTCCTATTCCCATTAAGCCTCCTTCCCACCCCTGGGAGAGCAGGGGAGAGCAGGCTGATGCCCAAGAAAATGGTGGTCCACAAAGTCAGGGTAGGACTCCGGGGAAGGCTTCAGGGGCAACTTCATATGGTGAACCTCAGTGAGTTCAGCAGCCAGGAGTCACTGTCTTTTTGTAGGCTACCAACCATCGGTTCTTCTGAAAGTCCTGCCTGGGCACTTCTCCTCCTCTTGCTGAAGCCTGGGGCGCTCTCTTCCAGGACCCTCTCCATTCTTTTCAAGGCTGTCTTACCCAGGCTGCAGGGCTTGCTTTCCACGCTGCAGAGTTTGTACTGCTGACTCTGGGTAGAAGCCAAAGGAGCATTAGCTGACTAGCAGGGGTCCTTCCAGCCTTTCATGCCCTGGGAAAAAGCCCTGCAAGGACAGCCCACTCGGTCGCAAAGAAATACCGCCCCGATGAGCCAGCAAGCCGCCTTCTGAAAACCCAGGTACAGAGCAACTGACGAAAGGGGAGGAGCAGCTGCAACATTTTGCAAACTACTGGGATTCAGCACCTAACGTTCCTCTTGTTTCAGCTGGGATGAGATCAGACAATTGCAGATGTCAACAAAAAAAATGGGCAAGGTCCCAAGGCTATCAGGGGCTCACAACGCTTTTAGGGAAAAGACACACAAGAAGCCAACAAATGCCCCTGTGCCTGACTGAAAATGGGAGTCTAACGTGCACTAAAAGCTCAGGGGGGAGGAGGGGGGTTGCTTTAAATCTAAGGTTCAAGCTCCAAAGCCCAAACTCACCTGCAGATCCTCCCCTTTAGCCACAACCAGAGGAGCGGTCCAGAGGCTCGCCATGTCAGAAGGCATCTCTTCATTATTCTAAAGATGAAACCCTCAAGTTATAAGGCAGGAAAACAGCACCGTGAATTTTGTAATATAACTGGTAGAGACTGATAAGTGGGTGGTTGACAAGATTTGGGGGTGCCTCAAAAAACAGCAGAGTTGACTTCTGGGTGCAGATATATACCATTAGCGAAACAGATCCATATTATTCTGCAGCGAAGATGATCAGGTTGTGAAAAACTAATTTTTGAAAACATCATCAAATTCTTTGCACTGTGCTGCAATTTCTTTGGCCAACAGGATCACTGACAGCCATGATATTGCTTTTGACAAAGTTAAATTACCAGAACTTCGCTCTAGAATTCCTGCTATAGTCCCACCAATAAAATGTTTTGCTTTATCTATTACTTTTAAAAATATGCATTATTACACTCAGTAATACAAAATAATAAAATTGTCCTGGACTCTCCCTCTGGAAGAAGCTAACCAAATGGAACTATATTATAGCTATTAAGAACTGAGGCACGTCCTCAGCATCACTTACTGTGCTATCGGGGCCATCCATAATCTCTAAAAATCCATCATCGTCTTCTGTTTCCGAGACCTTTCGGGACTGCTGCCGCAGGAATGCAGGGCTATCAGTTTCATTTTCAACATTCTGGCCACTGCAGAACTAAAGCAAATTAATACTTTAATGGAGAAATAGCTACCCTTCGATTTTCATACAATGTATAGTTCTTACTTGAAATTACTACTCTGAAAATACAAATTCAAAGATTACAGATTGAGACATTACCAACATTCATTAGCATAACCAAAAGCAATTCTAATATTCCTATGAAATCAAACTCTCCTCCTACGGTCAGAATATGGATGACATTATTGAGACATTGCATTAGTTGTATCTTAAAGCTTCCAGGCACTCCTGGTGGCAAATAGCAGGTGTGATGGACTTAATTCTCAAACGTCAGATGATAAACTACTTGATGCGAAGTATATCATGAATTGCTAAGTGTGGTACCTACCTTCTCTAAAAATAACAAAGTTTCAAACACACACACACACGTATGGCTACCAAACACTGTAGGAAAAAAACTTTAAAAATTCTCATTTCAAATCATGTTTTCAGTGAAAGCAATGTTAAAAGTTTGTCATCAAAACTAATAAACGTCAAATGAGTTAACTCTAGGTTGGATCAACAATCCCAATTATGTTTTTTCATGTGACAGACTTCCAGGGTCAGTCAGACCTAAAATGAAACATGTTTGCAACTTCCATTACGAGCTAATTGCTCCATGTCCATCTGAGGATAGTATCGCCTGAGGATGAAAATGATGCCAATGTATGAATAGCCCCCATTCTATATTTCTCAGTAATACTGAATCTATTCTCTTGCACGCGCCATATGGAGATACTAAAGGCTCTAATATTCTTGACGTGGCCTAAGCTTTGAGCAGAGTAGTTACATTCCCCCACTATAAACTATTGCCCTAAGTGTCCCCCCTTTCTGGTAAAGTAAATACTACCCCGAGCTGGACACCTTCTCGATAAATACCATAAATGCTGTATTTGACTTCCGTCTCAGTTCCAAAGCATCTTTTTCATCTTCAAGAGAAGAGAGACGCAGAGAGCTACGAGAGGCAGGTCTTGTTGGTTTCTTGAATTCAAAGTGCTCCTTAAGAAAAAGGGACAAAGCACCCATTTTACCAATCCATATAAAGGGAATAGACAAGTAATTTGCTATCTATTTTCTTTGATCTGGATGGTGAAATAAAAAGCTGTTGAAGCGAGATTAGTTTGAGACTTTAACTGAGTGCCCATCATCCTCAAGATGTTTCTGAAGTACAATTCCAAAATGCCAAATTTCAGCAGCAGTTTTCAGAGTTACAAAAATACAAAGGAGTGGAAGATCTCTGCTAAAACCCAATGAGACAAAAACCCTAACCCTAACCCTTTTTGGTGATATTACATCAGAAAACCTCTTCCTTGAACCGTGGCTGTCTTTCTCTTTTGGAATATCTGAAAACAAACTCACATTCTCTTTGTTGTCGTCCGGGCCAAAGGCCTGGAAAACATCACAGTCCGGGAGAGTCAAGTGGCTTCTCTTCAGGGCAGGACTGGACCCCAGAAGGCTGTGCTAAAAAATTGAGAAAAGCAACCCCAAAGTCACACATGTGAAGCTTTGTTTTATCTCAAAAAGCCATCAAGAAAACACAGATTAACTGATTTGGGGAACACGGAATGAATTATCATCATGCATCTATGCAGAGATTAATAGAAGAAAGCATGTAACACTGACTTGAAGCAATTGAGTTGGTATTCACAATAGATCAGAGATCTTAATGTTTGAAATAAAGAAAAGCAGCACGCTTCACGATGCAGTCCTTTCTGTGTAAGCTGACCACCTTTCCTTGTTCGCTTTAACAGAGAACTCAAGTGTTGCCAAAATAGAACCACTAACTCAACACTTTTCAGGAACTCTCCCTGCCACCTACTATAAAATGCAGAAACCCCTTTATGCTAAATTTCAAGCATCTAGAACCTTTGAGGTAAGATGAAGGGATTTTCTATGGCTTATACGTGAGACCTATAAACTCACCCAAGTCTGGAAAAGGTAAAATGGAGTTTTGAGAATAGAGCTCAGTACTGAAAAGGAGAGCCTTCTTCCTAAGTGAACTTACCGGGAGGGAGCACATTCTTCTCATGGGGAGTCGAAAGCTGTAAGGAGAACCACATAACCTTAAAATAAAATAAAGCTGATTTCCAACATGAAAGCAAAATTGCATTAACAAAAAAGTAGTTATAAATTCTGACTTTTAACTACATAATCAAATTAGTAGAACAATGCTGACCAGCTCCCAAAATAGAACCATCTGGTCTAATCATCACCAAGATATATAAAAACCCAGCCACATTTGACAGCTTATCTCTGAAAGATGGAAAGAAGGACTATTAAGGCTAAATCATTTATATCACACCTTTACCTTTGCACAAGATGACTCACAGAATTTGCAATTCAAAATATAGACACAAGGAATATGCAAAGACCCTTAGTTTGCAAGGCTGACTAACACCTAACTTGTAAGCTTCTTATACTGCTATTGTCTCCCCCATCCAACCAATTCTGCTTAAGGCTTCCTTTTTTAAAACAAATACTTCAGCAAATGTTAAGAGGGACAAGGCAGTTTTTAAAGCTGCTGGTAATTTCTCCTTTGATCACAACATACCTAGCAACCATATGAAACAGCAAGTCCAGCACTAAAACATACACCCTTAATCATGGGTAAAGAGAGCAAGGAGGAAAGCCTATCATGGCCCCAGGGATATCAGTAACAGCAGAACACTTTTTAAACCCATTCCACAGATTTGAAGAATTGGAGCTCTGAGACCCTCTGAGTCAGTACAGTCAAGACACACAGCCTTATATTCTAAACAGATTTTCTGCTTAACAAAAACTCTTCAGCCTGTCTCTTTCCTGATGCCCCCAGGTTTTTTTAAACCATATACTACATTAGCATATTTGTCACATACGTTTCCTCAAGGTCTTTCATGCCAAGCAGGATGGGAGAATCCATGCAGCAGCCTGTAGAAGATAAATTATCTTGCAAATATTACAGTTATTTGATGAAAGCATAATAAATTAACAGCCCATCTAAGTATACCAGATTAGTACTACATCCCTAATGCACAGAGAAATCTAAGCCCATTTTTTTAAACTTAAAAGCTTACAGTCTGAGCGTATGGGGCCAGTGAAGAAGCAGACCTTTCTCCATTACATCTCAGCTGAGCAATACATGGCATTGGTGGTTTGAGCTCAATTCGTAATTATAGTTTATGTATTCAGATGTAACAGCAAGCTATGGGTTTAATTGTGAGGCCCCCAAACAGTCTGGGGGCATCAGATCCTTTGGACATCAGATCTCCTTGTGTTGATGCCAAACAATAAAAATCCAAACTTCCTCTCTCCCGCCCATCCCGAAAATACCAGACAGCATAGGTTCGACATTCCTGCTCCTCCCAGGGCCAACATTCTTTCTTTCACACCAGATGGGTTCCCACCCCCTTCCATTTTAGACAAGGGGGAAAAAAAAAAAAGCAGAGAAAAGGCCCAACTTCTGTAGGTAGCAATAGAGGTGATGGGACAGAGCAAAATAAACCTCTTAACAGCACGCAGAGGGATGGGTGAACAACAGGGAAGTGCATTTTAAATAAAATGACCCAAAAGTTGGGAGCAATGGAATTAAAGGTTCGCTCAAGCAGATGAGGAACATTTCAGAAGAATCTGTCCAGCTGTAAGAACCACGGTACTCAGTTCCCAAAGAAAGCAACTCTCAGTGACACCGATGCAGATTCAAAGGGAAGGTCACTTATTGGAAAGTAGTAACAGCTCTAAAAGCATTGCTGGAACGGAGTCCCGCACGCGCCAAAACTTAGTTTTACCTCACTCGCATTTCACCCCCCCTTCAGTCTTGGAATCTCTCTTGTGCATGTCGAAGATATCTTCAGGTTCCCACATTGGTATGGCCTTGGACATTCCTGGGAGCGAGATAACAGCCCATCTGTGCCTAACGGTTGACCTCCCAACCTTCCCTCCCTTCCTCCCCTTCGATGTAATGGCAGAAACGAAGCAAGAGAACTAGCAGTGCAAGTGATAGATTACGAGGATTCTGACATACCACCCCTCTGGAAAAAAAAAATCAGTTTCAGAGTTCAGGGAAGGAGACCTGTAGAGGGATTAGATAGAGAGAAGTAAAACATATGTACATTTTTACAACATGAATAAATGTTATTTTGGCTTCTCAGGGTACTTCTTGTAGAAGTCCTTAATCAACTGTGGTGCCCGCACATGTTTTTCCGCTACTCAGTCGCATTGCGACTTGGGAAAATGTTTCCATTGAATGAGGAATTGTACTTCTCTTGTGTTTTCTGGCATCTAAAATCTCTTACTTCAAAGTGCTGCTCACCCTCAATCATTATAGGGTCTGGTGGTGGTTGTGTCACATGCCGCTCTGGTGATTCTTTGTAAGGTTTTAAGAGGCTACAATGGAATACTGGGTGAATTCTCTTTAAGATTCTTAGGCAACTGTAGTCGGTAAATGACTCTTTCTATTGTAAAAGGTCCCACAACCTTGGGTCCCAATTTCTTCGACGGTTGTAGTGTTCTGAGGTACTTGGTTGATAAATACACTTTGTCTCCCACTTTCCATTCCTCTTCAGGGGACCACTTGTGATCTGCGTGTTTTTTGCAGTTCTCCCTGGTATCTTGTAATGCCGCTTCAATTATCGGCCAAGTATCTGTCATCTGTTTGATCCATTCGTCTACTGAGGCCACTTGAGTGGATTCCTGGGGAAGTTCTGGGATAGCCACAAAATCTTGCCCAGTAGCCACTTTGAATCACTTGCACTGCTAGTTCACTTGCTTCGTTTCTGCCATTACAGCGAAGGGGAGGAAGGGAGGGAAGGTTGGGAGGTGAACCGTTAGGTGCAGATGGGCTGTTATCTCGCCCTCAGGAATGCCCAAGGCCGTACCAACATGGGAACCTGAGAACATCTTCAACATGCACAGGAGAGATTCAAAGACAGAAGGGGGGGTGAAATGGGAGTGAGGTAAAACTAAGTTCTGGCGCATGTGGGACTCCGTTCCAGCTATGGCTTTAGAGCTGTTACTACTTTCCAATAAATGAACTTTCCTTTGAACCTGCCTTGGTTTCAATGGGAGTTGCTTTCTTTGAGAACTGAGTACCGCGGTTCTTACACCAGCCAAGACAAGTGATTTAGACTTAGGGATTTCAAGCGCAAGCATTCACCATCAAGCCATATTTTGAATCATGAAAATGCTGGAAAACAGGGTCTGTAACTTGTTGCATCAGTGTGCAGACACAAACCTGAATCTGTAGAATCAGAAGAAGAGGTCCTTTTCAAATTGGCATTTCTTGCTTCCAACATCTGCATACAACATTCACTTGAGCTGCAAAGATTCAAAGATAATGCTGTTATCTCTCACACTGTAGTACATGGATTAAGTTAGATGGTCCTGGGAAAAACTGCTGTTACACAATCACAGAGGGAAGGGAGCACCTGAACGCTACAAAACCATTTGCCTGCTGAGAAGTTCTAATCAGCAAGAGCCCAACAAGCATTTCCACATTCTAGGCTGCATTTTCCAATCTTGGTTGCAAAAGTGGATTCTTTCAGGAAAGTAACCCCTATGAACAATATGCTACTACTGTTAGTACGATTACTGTAGGTCTCTGGCATTCAACGTGAATACACATAAAACAAAAATCTCTGTCCCTTTTAGGAAACAATGAAAACTAACATCAAGATGTTGTGGAAGGCTTAGATAGTATGTCTGAAAGTGATTTCAGAACTTATCCTGCTAAATTTAAATTATATTAATCCGACACACAGATAGAAGATGCATGAAAAAGCACAAGGGGAAGACTTTCATTCAAGTGCCAAATCACAGGCCGGCTCACACATACATGCATTTGCCACTAGTTAAAAGCTCAGCTCCTGGTGGCTTCAAGGGTCATCCACACAGTTTTCTTGCAAGAGTTTGTGAACCAAATTGATGGAGAAGAATCTGACTTCTGTCCCTTTAAGACTGCCCTGGAAGGTGGTGAGCCCTCCTTTTGGTGCTTAAATAGAGGATGGTTGGCCCCCGCAAGGGATGCTGTGGCAGTGGATCCTTGGACTTGGCAGGGAGTTGCAAGAGGTGATCTGTAAGGCCCCTTCCCACCCTGGCATCGAAACACAGCTACCACAACTGAAACCAGAACTTCGTTGCAGTCCCCCAAATTCAGGAAGTGGACCAAAAAAGGATCGCCTAGACATGGGTGGACCTTAGAGGCCAAGCCAGCTGTTCATTACATGCTTATCCACGTACGTTTTGTACAAGTGAACGCGTAATGCCCCCCTTCCTCCTCTGCTCCGTAACAACAACCCCGTGAGGTGGGCTGGGCCGAGAGGGAGGACCGGCCCAAAGCCACCCAGCCGGCTTCACGCCCGCGGCTGGACTGGAACTCGTGCCTTCGCCCGCCCGGGCAGCCCGGGTTCTGCGTTTCGGACCCAGCCAAATTCCAAGGGTTCCAACCGGGCAGGCCCGCCGAGACGCCCCCAAGCTCGCGTCTCCCTTCCGAGGCGGAGCGGGGGCGAGCGGCGCCTCGCCTACGCAGGGCCCCCTTAGATATGGAGGCCGCACGGCCCTCGCAGGACTACAGATCCCAGTCCCCCCTGGCTGGGGACGAGGGGAGCCAGAACCCCCCGGAAGCCTTTCTCCGGAGGCTCTCTTCCCCGCGACCCCCGAGCCCGCACCGGCCGGGCGCCTCCGACCCGAGAAGAGGGAC